TTCAGGTACTCATACCCTTTTGATAAGAAACTTTCGTTTTATTATGTTACACTCACGTAACTTCATCTTGATAATTGAAACCTTTATTTCATCCTTCCATGTTGTAAATACCCATTTTTGGACAGTGTCAATGTCACACATATTCTTTTTCTTTTTTTAAATACAAACTCTTGACTATAAAAATGTGAGCCCAACGGCAACCATATATATTAACATTAAAGTTTAATTAACTCCATTCATATTTGTCTTTTAACTATTGTAATCGTCTATAAATGTCTATAAAAATTTAAAAGGAATAATAAAAAAATGTTTTATAAATTCTTACAATAAAGCAGTCTCACCATATAATAATTAATTAAACTATTATTAAAAATCTACAATTGGTGAAGCACTCTATTATTCAGCAAAAGAATAATATCATTGCATGATGTTGCCATCGAGATAATGGCACAAGTAAAACTCCATTTCCGCACAAGAAAACAACGTATGACACACTTCCCATACTGTCGTGTTTGTCTTTGCATGGCAAAAAAAATAAAAAAGCAACAAGAATGAAACGTCATTCACATCATAATTCCTTCACGACAATGCATTCTTCCATCTCCATTAATCTTTTCAACCTCTTTTTCTCTCTTTATATCAACTTTCCTCACACAAAATAAAACACGGGGTAAAGCAAGACAAGAACATGTCTTCAACATTGGATTCCGAAGCCACCGTAGTAGAAGAGTGTCGCGGTGTTCTTCACGTTTATAGCGACGGTTCCATAGTACGCTCTTCGCGCCCAAGCTTCAACGTCTCTGTAGTCGACGACGGCACCGTTTTGTGGAAAGATGTCGTTTTTCACCCTGCCCATGATCTTCAGCTTCGGCTCTACAAGCCAGCCGACTCAGCCGGCTCCAAGCTTCCCATCTTTTTCTACTTTCACGGTGGCGGCTTTTGCATCGGTTCACGCACTTGGCCTAATTGTCAAAACTACTGTTTTCGTCTTGCTTCCCAGCTTCGAGTTATAGTAGTAGCTCCAGATTACCGGCTGGCTCCCGAGAATCGACTCCCTGCCGCAATCGACGACGGCTTCGCGGCTTTTAAGTGGCTTCAGACTCAAGCCGCGAGTAATGAGCCGGACCCATGGTTGAGCAACGTGGCTGATTTTAGCCGGGTGTTCATCTCGGGTGACTCGGCTGGAGGGAACATAGCTCACCATTTGGCGGCTGGACTTGGATTCGGGTCGCCCAAGTTGGAGTCGGTTCGGGTGAGAGGTTATATTCTATTGGCACCTTTCTTTGGTGGAACTGTCCGAACGAAGTCAGAAGCTGAAGGACCAAAAGATGCTTTTCTGAATTTGGAACTTATTGATAGGTTGGTAAATTTGATTAGTCATATTTGCATAATGTTTTACACCAGTTTCTAATGGTTCAATGATTGAACAGGTTTTGGAGGCTTTCTATTCCGATTGGGGAAACTACAGATCACCCTATTGTGAATCCATTTGGACCAAACAGCGAGAGCCTTGAAGGGAAAAGTCTAGAAGCAATTCTGGTGGTGGCCGGAGGAAGTGATTTGCTTAAAGAGAGAGCAGAGGATTATGCAAGGAGGCTTAAGGAGTGGGGTAAAGATATAGAGTATGTGGAATTTGAAGGACAGCAACATGGTTTCTTCACTATTGATCCCAACTCAGAACCCTCAAACAAGTTGATGTTCATCATCAAACATTTCATAGACAAGAATGTTTGAAGACCTTCAAACTCTGCTGCAACGTCATCAAATTCTAAGCATCAAGCATCCATTGCCCTAAACTTGTGTTAGATTGCTGTTGTAATAAAACTTTCTCCTTCTAAAAGTTAATGTGTATGTTTGTGACAGTGGCAGTAGAGAATGAACTGTGAGAATAAATTTCAAAAGTAATTCGTTT